AAGGCCTTTCTATTTACCAATCACCACTGCCTGGTGCCTAGTATGTAAATGTAGTCACCTTTTGCTATGAAAACAAAAAGGATCACGAGCTGTCATAAAATATCACCTTACTATACATTTTCAAGAAATATAAATTTTAGTTGCTATGCCACCGAAATTCTCCCGGGCCGATAAAATATCGATAAATAAAACATGAAGATTCATGCTTTTGCCTTTTTAGTTTTTACCTCACGGACGCGTCTGTTGGAATATCCCCGATTTGAAATGTGAACATTGTTCTCTATCTAGTATAGTTTATACCTTTTAATAAATTCATATTTAAATCTTTAAATTCCACTGTCCACCGTCTCTTTAACACTCGACCAGTGTGCTTCAAATACGCACCATTGAATCAATTAAACAGATTAATAAGGTTATTTCTAAAATAAATAAGGCATTGTCTATACCAATCATTTAAATTGATCTGAAAACAACATACTTTAAATGTATTCATGCGATAATACTTTGTGATCTGAACAAACAAAGGGCTCAAAAGCTTCCAACCGATCGTGCCTTTGTACAAAACCAATAAAATTAGCGAGGTGATTATTAATCTGCAAACAAATGTTTTTCGCGGTGCTCTAATTTATTGAATCATGGTTTAATTAGTGCCAGGTGAATGTTACGTGATGTAGTGGTATTCTCCGTTGTTGTTGTTTGTTTATGTAATCTTCTATGAAGTACCTCTGTAACAACCGAGGTCAGAATCCTTTATTAGCAGAAGACTTAATTAAAGTCATAGGCGTTTGACATGGCTCAATTGGACCAAACATGGCGTAATCCACGGAAAATCATATCATATTTCTTTGTAGAAAATCCGGTCATTCAATTATCCTCCAAAGCCTTTCCTAAACTAGTAACAAATAACAATTACAAAAAGTTATTAACATTGCATGTGGACAGCGCAGGACCGGTCGTAAATCCTTGGGTTTGGCCTTTGTCCAGCAGTGGACCTAATTTGGCTGAAACGAACGAACGATTAACACTGTTAGGGTATTATTAAACCCACTGATTCAAGACTCTCTATCCACAAGGTCTAGTCTAGACGTCTTGTGGTCACAACAAGGGAGCTTGAAAAATCATCTAACAAAGGACATTGTCAGAAANCGAACATTGTCATTTATGTACACCGTTCTATGTGCATATAAGTTTTAAATAAATAAGTAAAATAAAATTAGAACGCTGGAAAAACATAACTTGATAAAACGCCAAGAACGTAGAATTAGTTGTCATCAAAGTTAATTAGCCTCTTTACGAAGCCGCATGAAAATCAAGTTTGCTCCAAGTATAAAAACGAGTTTCCAAGTCACCTTGATGCCTCGATTGCAGCGTTTAGGAGGAAAACTCATTCATTACTATTCCTCGGGCAGACGCAGGCCTGTCCCGACGTATGACAACTGCCAAGTATGGCGATGAACCTTGGGTTGCGTATTTTCAATAGTTTCACATTTGCATCATCGCTTTTTCAATACTTCATAAATCAAAGAGCGTTTTAATGCACGGGGATTCCGTGCTTAGGGTTGCCAGGTGTCCGGCTTTTACCGGACATGTTTGGCTTTTTACGGACTTGTCCAGCCAAGGCTTTTAGAGTAAAATGTCCGGCCAAATTAAGCACCGAGTCCGACTTTTGTGTTTTTGGACCTGGCAACCCTATCCGTGCTGCTTTTTTTTGGTGACTTAAGTCGTGAAAATGTTTGAGATACTTTGAGCGGAGAGAGATGATACCTTCCTAGGTATCATCTCTCTCCGCTCAAAGTATCTAACGTACTAAAAGAATTAGAAAAACATAATTTTGATCAACTTTAAAAGGCTCTAGGTAGATAAACTATAAAAACAGTACGACGCTGAAGATAGAAATGGCAATAAAGCGCAAGAAGTGATTGATGATATCCAGCAGAAAGCTGCAGGAAACAGTCAACTAGTTATCCCACCAATCACCAACTGAGCTTATTATAAGGCGTTTGGATAACGGATGAACGAACTAAAATAGATACGAACTATGTTATACATGAACATCCATTACTAAAAGATTGAACTTTCCCTGCTCTTCGCGCTAAAATTCGCTCCCAGCGGAATTCAAACTGGCAACTGTAACTGTTCTAGCGTTAGGCGGGCGGCGCCTTCAGGTTCAGAATGTCCAATTCCCAAAATGTCCAACGGTTTCAAAATGTCCAATTCCCGGAATGTCCAATTCCCAAAATGTCCAATTCCTGAAATGTCCAGTTCCCGAAAAGTCCAATTCCCAAAATGTCCAATCTACTATTATGATGGGTTTGTTAAATAAGTCCTCATAGGCTTTCTTAAAAATATTAAATAAATAACCATACTTAAATTTTAACAATCATTTATTTATTTACAAATTATTCTTTTTTTGTTAGGTCAATAGAAAAAAATATAAATAACTATACATTCTTGTATGAGTATAAAGTGCAGTAGTAAATTTTCTCTACGTACTTTTTGCAAATAATACAAATTTTCTATGTTTATATGCCGATTTTGCAAAAACTAAACGCATTCGTACAGAAATATTTTAATTACTAATTTTTAAGAAAGGCTATGAGGATTTATTTAACAAACCCATCATAATAGTAGATTGGACATTTTGGGAATTGGACGTTTCGGGAACTGGACATTTCAGGAATTGGACATTTCGGGAATTGGACATTTCGGGAATTGGACATTTTGGGAATTGGACATTCTGGGAATTGGACATTTTGAAACCGTTGGACATTTTGGGAATTGGACATTCTGAACCTGAAGGGGGCGGCGGTCATGCTTATGAACAATTCGTTAAAACTGTTTACCAAAAGTTATCTCATTAAAGTTTAAATTGACAGATATTAACACTCATTAATATGAAAAACTAATATTTTTTCGTTTTTTTTTTCCAATTACTCATAATAATGTGTATATGCAGTGTATCAGTGCGATACTTGAGGACCTTGGTTTGTCCTGCAAAACAAATGATTCACTGGTTTGTACATCAACAACAAATTATAACAAGAAGTGTATTGACATCTGATTAAAGATGGAAGATTCCTTGCACATAAGGGGTATTTTTAAATCATATTATGTATTAAGAAATTCTATTCCCAGAGAAGTAAAATTATGGCCAATCAGTAATCTAAGGGCATGAAGTGGCTGCCATTTCCCAAATTTAAATACAAAAAATTTAAGAATAGTTTCATCAAAATTAATCATGTACTGTGGTTGACTGGCAGAGCATGCCAACCGACATGAAGTCTGCCACTGTACAATAATTTAGTGCATAAACTTTAGATTTATAAATAAATAATGGATATAATAAACACTTTGGTGTGGATTGATAATACTCAGCCCATTTCTATCCTAATGAATATTATAGATCAATTTGTGGAAATAAGGATTTAATTTGACTCAATATACCATAGCAACAGAAATGTAGTCAAAAGCTCAAAAGTCAATGATGGCTAACAAAAATAACAAGGGACTCAAGCATAATTCAGAGTCAATTGAAAGCGAACAACAGTTTATTGACATAAATTAATCTTAATTGGCCACCATGTATCTTGATTGACTTGACATGCAACATGTTGGGTCATGGAATCTTAAACGCTGATAATACATACAATTTGAGCAGGGCTCCCAAAATAATGCAGTAAATGTATGTGCAATAGTATTTGTTGTTAATTATGATTAATGACTATTTGTAATCAGAGGGGCCTGGTTGATTATTATAATTGCAGCGTGATTAATCAATAAATTACATTGCAACACAAACGGTAGATATATTGATCATAGAAAACATAATAAAAATTATTTCGTGTCAGATTTTAAAATTAATAAGAGCCGGTAGCCATTTTTCTATTTCAGTTAGACCTAGAATAAAATAATGGATGGAGAGTATAAACTTTAACTAGATATATTGCTAGCAAAATCCGTATGAACAGAAACAATAGATAAATGTTATTAAATTGGTATAGGTCAAGATATTTGTGTTATTTATATCATTTTATAAGCTTAATTTACTACACACATTACATAAATTTAGAATAAATAAAAAAATTATTTATTTCTTTAACACTTTTCCGGACAGTAACCCAGACACAATAGAAGTTTAATTGTTATGACTGCTATAGCAGTTAACTGACCAGAAAAGTGTTACATTATTCTTACTGGGAATAATCTCAAGTTAGTTTTGTCTAAGATTTAGCATAATAAATATGGAAAATTGCCAAGGGGTATGACTTTCGTGCAAAATCTAGCCCACAACAACAATAATAATAAAGACAATACAAAAACACATCTTCTAATCATCAGAAAAGTAATAGAAAAGAAAAAGAGAGAAAACAAACAATAATTAGTCAGTCAACATGAGAGAATTAGTCAGAATTTGATGCTCTCTTTTCAACTGCTTGATTCATTGTTTCTAAGCATGCTGAATTGCTGGGTCTCTTCTAAAAAGTAACTTTATAATCTCACAAAATGTAATAAGCATAATATTAGTGTGGAACTCTGCAGTTATTTTTATGGATAGAGTTAAAATCACAACTATTGGTTTGTATGTAATATAAGTGCTTTGGCACTAATGTTATCAAAATGGATCTCATGCTCGAGTTGCTTATCACAAATTCATAAACAATAGTTTCTTTTGTTAGATTTCAATTAATTTAGAGAATGAATTACCTCCAATGGTCTACCATTGTAAGAAAGATTGCAAATCAGTGTAAGTATACTGAAGTTAAGTATTGTACATACTTTTTTGCCACATAAATAATTTAGAATCAAAGAGCGCCCTAGTACTATTTTCGACTTGTGAGTAACTTTCATAAAATCATTGAAGGTAGAAAATAATACATGACGTTCTGAGGAATATTTCCTTGAATCCAAAAGAGGAGAACTGTAAACAGTATAATTAACTTTCAAACAAAGACAATTAGTGCGGAACAATGGAATGCAGTAGTATTTCGAAGTGAACTTACATGATTTACTAAATTTATCAGCAGGACACAGCCTAAGACTGGTAGAAAACGCTGTAGAAACTTTCCACACGATTCAGCCATTGTTTTTCACTGTTCATATATCACACTAGTATTTTTAGAATACTGATGATGTCGTCATATCATAATTGCAACTGTTACAAGCGTTTGGTATGATTTTTGTGTAATATTTACGACGCACTTTCCTCCACCATTCGCTGAGAAACGAGGAATCACAGATCGAGGAATGAATAATTTTTGACTGATTGACGACGAAAGATGATATTTGTCGTCTATGGTCACCGGTCTTTACTCTATGAAAATTTTAAAATGGCGGCGTGTTCTTCTATGTAGAATTTTAATTTAGTTCTGTCTTAGTTTTGTTCCATGCTGCTAAATTAAAGAAATTAAGTTTCAAATGCACACAATTTTAAACAAATTTGATTTGATTTTCTACTAATCAATAAACGTTTTTGCCAACTTTCATTATTGATAAAAAGAAAATATTTTGTCTATGACGACGAAATGTCATACGATTGTCAAAAAAAACCTGTCAAGCAAGTGTCATTTCGTTTCTCTCAGAATTTGTAAAAAAACAATGAACGAGGCGATTTGTTTTGTAAATGTCTGCAATCGAATTAATTTAGCTTCAGATTCAAGCAACTATTTATAACATAGTACTTTACTACAGAGTGTGTGAACATTTATCAATCGATCTCACTGAGATTTTGAACCATAGCAAAGTCATTCAAAACATGCAATGATTTCCCAACATAAAATCGGGTGTTTTGAATAATGGATGATAGAAAAAGGCGAAGAGGCATGTATGTTACAGCGAGGCAGAAGAAGAAGCTTGTAGAATTAGTGACTAAGCACCCAGAGTTGATCGCGTGTAAAGTAACGCAAGACTTTAACTATACTGATTCACAAAAACTCTGGCAGAGCATTGCAAGCGAGTGCAACAACATCCCTGGACCTGGTGCTAGGAAAACTTGGCGACAGTGGAGAAAAGTGGGTATCATTTCATTAGAACTTTAAAAAATATTGCCTAGTTTTGTCTTGACACATAACTCTTCTGTGAATTATATTATTGAGAATTCGTTATTTTATACCAATTTAACTTAATTACAAACTTATTATTAATTACCTTTTCAGACTTGGCAAGACCTCCGGTCAAAAACTAAGAAACGTCAGGCTGAGATCAACGGTGAAGTCCCTTCATCAGTAGTGATGCTCACTCCAGCGGAACAAGAAGCCTTAGGCTTGAAGAATGTGTCTTCCACCACTAACTACCAGGAAACCACAGAATTCGTGCCTATTATAGACCCAGACATGTCACAAGAGTACAACAATGAATTGGACTCAGTTCATTCATACAGTGAACCAGAATCTCCGCCAGAAGCTAAAGTATTCGAACACAAAGAGCCTAAAGTGAAAAGTTGCAGCTCCAAACAAAATGACAAACATGGAAATAACTGTTTCTTCAATTGTGATTTGCTTGCTTCTTCTGAACAAAGAAAAATGCAATTAAAAGAAGACTATATTAGCTTTAAGAAAGACTATCTTAGGCAGAAATTAAAGCTAATTAAGGAGCAGACAGAAGCTCTCAAAAGTATTGCTAGGGAACTCTCCAAATGATTAATAGTGATCTGAATTTTGTAATTTGCAAATTGATTCAATCCACTGCAAATGCTAAGGGTTGTTGTAAAAAGTTGAAATTTTACTACAAAATAATGCACAAGTTTATGCTATATTTTTCTTTTATACAGTAATGTTACAACATATCAGCTGATTTGTTAATGTTATTGTGATCAGTGATTTAATAATTTGATGAAATTCCATACTTTTGTATGTATCTGATTGAGACATCAAATTTTTGGATCACTGTTTATGAAGGAAGGTCTGACAATATTACCCCACTTGTACAATAAGGTATGTGTTTGGTACAATGTATTTATTATTATTAAGATATTATGTTAAGTAATGGAAAATAGAAATGTATTTTAATTTTGTTATAAAATGAACTTCAAATGCCTGAAATATTTATGGTGCAATAAAATTTTCATGTAGGCTTATGTATTACAATACTACATTTTTTAATTTTCTTTTTTATTTAAAAATACATAAAATGAATTGTTTACTTTGTGGTAACAATGTTATCTCTATAATATTATTTTTATGCCTGTTCCTATATTTCAAATTCAGCAATGTTAGGCTTATTTTATGACCTAGACACTGAGTAGGTACTAAATGCTATGAACTTTCTTTACTTTCTTCTTGCCTAGACAGTTCAATCATGATTTTATATTATGTATAACATTTTCATAATATTCAGGATGGAAAGCGGCATGTGCTCGCGTCTCAAAATAATATTGTTATTATACTAGGATTTAATATAATAAAGTGGAAGTGCCACCTAAACAAAGTTTGTTGTACGTTAATTTTATATACCCGATGTACGTAATTATATTAATATACGTTATATTCAGGTATATTATTGTTAAGTCCACAAAACGTACGTCAGAAGGTTGGAACAGTAAAACATGTGATTTCTTTAAAGGTGTAATTGCGACTAAAATAAAACTGGCGGGCTCAGCCGCCGACACATACAAGGAACAGTATAACTATTGTTTCCTATTGTTAATTGTATTGGGCAATGATGTGGGAACGCAGGACGCTACTCAATACTCTCTGTTCATTCATGAAGTTAATTTATTACTCTGATTAATGTGTACCTACATCATCCCCCTCCTTATACAAAAAATAAAACACAATAACACTCGATTGAGTAAATAACAAAATAATGAATATTTGAAACAACATTATAAAACAAAATTCTATGTCAATTAAAAATATCTAGAGACATAATAGAATAATCAAATTGTGCACTTGGTCCATTGTGAAATTACAAGCAATGCGCAAGTTAAAGTAAACAGTAAAAACATAAGAAAAGGTTGTATGTGCCTATCATTATACAATATAAAAATGTCAATTACAAATTACTAAACATCAATAAACATCTCAGAAACAAAATATCAAAAATGTTTTGCCAAACAAAATACAATAAATCAATTTGAATAAAGAGTAAAGTAAAAAATCATGAAACCATGTATAAAGTAAGTACATAAAAATACAATATTAAATTAATAAACTAATAGCTAATTAATAATACGCATAATAGTTTACATGTTTCGTAAAAACATTAGAACATTGTATTTATAAAAACTTATCCTAAGTAAGTAACGATGAGCCGCTCTACCTACTTAGAAAGAAAAAAACTTACAAGTCAAAACGCACCGGTTTATTGATAACGCGGCCACTTCGCGTTGTTTTTGGAATTAGAACTTTGCTAGAAGTGTCTGCGTTATTAGTACTAGTATTTTTACTACCGTTATTATCACTATAACTAGAATTAGTAAAAGAATCAAAATTATCGTTTAAATCATGGTCACTAAGAATGTGCGCGGGTTTTAACCTATCCATTGAAATAGTAGTTTCTTTTTCTCCTATTTTAATGACGAATGTTTTGCCTCTCCTACTTATGACGCCATAGGGGCCATCATATGGGGGTTGAAGAGATTTGCGCATTAAATCATTCCGAACAAACACATATTTACAAGTACTTAAATCACTAGGAACAAATAAAGAACGTGAATTACGATGACTCGATGGTCTCGGATTCAGGTTACGTATATTATCTCTTAGTTTCTGCAAATATTCTGAATCTGTATCACAAAATTTAGTATCTTCAAAAAAATCGCCTGGCAATCGAATTGATTTGCCGTAAGTTAATTCAGCTGCGCTTACACCGCTGTCGCTTCTAGTAGCGGCGCGTAAACCTAACAATACAACTGGTAGTTCGTCTACCCAAGAACTGTTGCGTTGTAAGCGTGCCATCNGGAACGCAGGACGCTACTCAATACTCTCTGTTCATTCATGAAGTTAATTTATTACTCTGATTAATGTGTACCTACATTTGTTTATTTCTGCTTATCTCCACAATAAGTATGTGATTCCATACTACACATCAAGATACATGATGATGGAACTAACATCACAGGTATGATGATGACTAAAATCTACCTACTCGTGTTGCGCGCATGTTCAAAAGTTATAGCAAGTTATAGAGAATGGTCACGCTCACGCACGCTGCACGATATTTGAATAAATAATTTGGATTAAAATACTTGTAGCCAATCCACTTTTAAAAGTAATAATAAAAATAAGTGTAACGTCACTGTCATCATTGATATGAAACCATAGTGATGTGTGTTCCATGGAAAACTCGAATGTTAATAAAGAGAAATCGATTTAATATTTTTTGCCTAAAACTACACTCGCGAGCAAAACTATGGAATCACTTACATGAAGTTGTTTCCACGCGATCTTGTGTACTAACGAATTTGTTAGTAACAAAAAAAGTGGCACCATTTTAAAGATTAAACTTTTACCTTTTAATTGATACCAAATTCATTTAAATCACACCGGTATTTAAAAAGATATCCCGGCTGATGTGAAGAAGTAAGGAAAAAGACATGTATCAACTGTTTGATACGTCGCGAGTTGCGGCCTACTTACCCCCTATAAAAACACGTGTTTTCGGATTTTTGCTTTCACACATTGATCCATACACATCTCCGCTTTTTTTGACACTTTACCTGGGATTCTACACCTACAGAAGCAGCACAAATCGTTGCACTATTGCAAGAAGGGCTCAGCCAGCGGGCTGTCGCACGTCAGCTCCACATAAGCCAGTCCTGGGTTTCGAAAGTTTTAAGACGCTTTCGGGAGACTGGTGGCTTTATCCCGAGACCAAGTTTTGAACAGCGCCGGTGCATATCGCAGAGGGATGACCGTTTTTTCATGTCAACCTCTCTATGAAATCATCATTTGAGTGGTATCGACGTCCAGCAAGAGCTCAGAAATGTTCGTAGGATAGCTGTTAGCGTGTGGACAGATCGTCTAAGATATAAGCAATAGAATTTGACTCCAAAAAGGCCTGCCACAGGCTCGAAACTGACGGCAGGTCACCGACAAGCACGCTTTCAATTAATTCGCACTTATTTTGATGGGTAGGCGAGTAATGGAGGCGAGTTTTGTTATCCGATGAATGCAGACTGTGTTTGCAGTGCAGCAGTTGAAGAGGTCGGGTCTATAGGCAGCCTGGGGAGCGATTTGTGCAGTGCTGGTTCGCTGAAACAGTGGCTTATGGGGGTGGCTTGCTCGACTTCCCATCGAGATGTGTACGAGCAAATTGAAAGCGTGCTTATCGGTGACCTGCCGTCAGTTTCGAGCCTGTGGCAGGCCTTTTTGGAGTCAAATTCTATTGCTTATATCTTAGACGAACTATCCACACGCTAACAGCTATCCTACGAACATTTCTGAGCTCTTGCTGGACGTCGATACCAATCAAATGACGATTTCATAGAGAGGTTGACATGAAAAAACGGTCATCCTTCTGCGATGTGCACTGGCGCTGTTCAGAACTTGGCCTCGGGATAAAGCCACTAGTCTCCCGAAAGCGTCTTAAAACTTTCGAAACCCAGGACTGACTTATGTGGAGCTGACATGCGACAGCCCGCTGGCTGAGCCCTGCTTGCAATAGTGCAACGATTTGTGCTGCTTCTGTAGGTGTAGAATCCCAGGTAAAGTGTCAAAAAAAGCGGAGATGTGTATGGATCAAAGTGTGAAAGCAAAAATCCGAAAACACGTGTTTTTATAGGGGGTAAGTAGGCCGCAACTCGCGACGTATCAAAGAGTTGATACATGTCTTTTTCCTTACTTCTTCACATCAGCCGGGATATCTTTTTAAATACCGGTGTGATTTGAATGAATTTGGTATCAATTAAAAGATAAAAGTTTAATCTTTAAAATGGTGCCACTTTTTTTGTTACTAACAAATTCGTTGGTACACAAGATCGCGTGGAAACAACTTCATGTAAGTGATTCCATAGTTTTGCTCGCGAGTGTACTTCGCCGGATGTAAAATTGAATTAGGTATTTAATTTTCAAACCTCTGCTCCGATTGCGCTAACTATTTTCAATTACAACGAGACTAGACGACGAATTCGTATAGCGGTGTCGCTTTGACTGCTAGTTCATTTAAACGAAAACGAAACGCAACTGCTTCTTTATGTAAAACCTGAAAGATAGCTACTTTTTTCATAATCGCTTCACGAAAATCATGAACATTTGCTGTTTTAGTGAAAAAATAAGGTATTCGGAAAGTCAGAAAGTGCTTAAATCCGTTGTTTTGTCTTTGTTTGCGCGTGAACTTTACCGCGATACCGAATTGCACATCGTTGAATGAAAATGGTGTGTGGACTAGAGATGAAACGCGAATGAATTGGAGACATTACAAATTACCGCAATTGGGGCCCTGTTAAACCTTATGTGACAGAAACGACTTCGCCGGATATAGCTTCGAAATTCGAAGTGAAAAAATGCATTTCCGGCGACTTAATTCTAAATTCAACCCGAGGTTTATTGATTTTTTTTTTAAGGGACGCGCGCTTGTAGCTTGCGGAGCTTTTCCAGCTTCACCGGGCAGAGTGGCGAGTACAGAAGGTACTTTAGCCGTTTGGTTTATTGATGTTAATGCAATGAATCCTTATAATCGTTCAGTTTTTTATCGATTTACAATTTAACTGATACGTCACTCATTTACTATAATGGACATCCCTAATTAAAAAAGTGATAGTTTGCTTGCTGCTCGTTTTCTTTAGTTTGTTTGTAAAAAAGTTTATTGTATTTTTTTGTCTTGCGCTTACAACTTTTCGAAAAAGCCCAATAAAACGCCTTAATGCTTGAAGCAATTGGATATCGTTAAATATGACTTGCACCAAAGAAGAAATTGAGAGAAAACGACTTGCTGCACTACAGAAACGGCAAAACAAATTAATGAATGTTACCCCCAACAAGTCGGCTGCTCTCCTCGCTTCAAATTCATTTGGAACTCCGAAATCTTCCGGATCCCCCAGGAACAATGCATACAATTCAAATGCAAGTTTTCACCCTTACGCCAGAGTTTCAAATAGTTCAAACTCGCAAGCTGAAAACAGTGTTCCAGTGGGAAAGATAGTCAACGGTACAATATACCTGATATCTGAGACAAGGTTTGAAGTGAATCCCTCCGAATTTTGTGTGCCTCTCATAAATATCTTCAAGACTATACCATCAAGAAGCTATGGTGAGTGATCTATTCTCTCAATGGATTTTATTATCAAAATTTTATTCAAAACAATAAATTGAACCTTACTTATGCAAGAAAATGGTGTAAATCAAATTTTCAAAATTTTAGATCCAGGCTCCAAGTTGTGGAATTTCTCTGTGGATGATTATCATGAGCTGATGAAGAAAGTGGCTCCCTTAGCACCGCATGTAGTGTTAGGATCCCTGCCACCTT